TTTCCCCCTCCCCCCCCTTTTCCCTCCTTTCTGCTGTAGGTAAACATCATTCCAATTATTGCCAAAGCAGACACCATCTCCAAGAGCGAGTTGCACAAGTTCAAGATAAAAATCATGAGCGAGCTGGTCAGCAATGGCGTGCAGATCTATCAGTTCCCCACAGACGATGAAGCAGTCGCTGAGATCAACTCTGTGATGAACGTGAGTAACGCTGCAGTCCCATTTGCCACCAAAAGTTGTGACAAATTAAATTGCTGCACAAAAAGGCATTCGAAGGGCAAGTTTCATTGGGATTGTCCAGATGTTAAATCTGTTCAAAAGTTGAGCTGTGGATCTGACAGTTGCCTAAGGCTGTTGCATATAAAATTAATTAAAATGTGGCTCTCGTTTAGTCTGTGGGCTCTCTGGAGAAACACAGCTCAGCTCTAAAATTTGTTTTATTGAATTTTGAAAAATACTTTCTTCAAAAATTATTCTGTCTGCTTTTAGGTTACTTTTCATTTGAGGAGGGAGAAACTTTGAATACAGATTTTACAGTTAAGATTTACATTAGCTGTCTGATTTATGGAGGCTAAGCAGAGAAAACCCAATTTAAAATAAAGAAGAAAAAATGTTAGACTCTATTTTGTCCTTGTTTTTTCAAGTTCAAAGATCAAATTCAGACCTGGCTGAAGCGTGTGCAAAACACTTTCAAGTTTCCTGTGTCCCAAATCAGAGCGCCGCTATTGCAGTAGAAACAGCTGAAATGTTTCCGTGTTGATTTTTTAAATAAAAAGTTGCTTTTTCATCAAAATGAACATTTTCCTGCATAGGTGTTTCTGATTAAATGCTTTGTCTTTTCTTTCACACCCCCCCCCTTTTTTATTTTTTAATTTCAATAGTCAATTGATTTTTGAGTCAACTAGATATGTTTTCTCACTATAATAGTTCTTTTTTGCTGAATTAATGAAAAAATTGGAGGATGCACTCTTTTTAAAATAACTGCAAGTTGTGTGCATTGGGGAGAAAAAATGGGAGTCGTGCTTGTTTGGGTTTTCTCCCCCTCCCCCCCAGGGAAAATATTTTTGGCCACTTCTCTACCAGTTCCACACTTCTGGATCCATTTCTTCTTAAATGTGAAGGATTTTGTCAACCATGTCCTACGGAAGCGCCTGCTCTGTGGCTTCTTTCCTGCAACAATGAGGACGGTGCCGTTTCCTTGCTGCGCTTGATGCTTTGCAGACTCGGAGAGCAGCGAGCGCATGGCGTATCCTGCACATGTCCCTTCCAGTGCCCACGCACAAACCGCTGTGCCAGAGCCTGTTTACGGGTGTCTTTGCTTGTGCTTTCTGCAAGGCAGGGAGTGACCCGCTCTTGGCGCGTGGAGAGACTACAGCTGAGGAACAGCCTGACAAACGGAGAGAGGCAGATAGTAATGACCATGGTGTTCCTA